AGAGCGAGCTTTTTCGTAAGCTAATTCCGAAAGTATCGGACAGTAGTGATCACTCACAATGATCAATTTTCCAATATTTCAGTTTCTTACTTATACAATTATATTTACTTTGCCACTTGCAGATTTACAAGTAGAAAGATGCTCGCCATCTGGCGACGAAGGCTGGCTCTAATTGTAAATGAATTCTCATTATAAACTTTTTGTACGATTGACGCAAAAAGTGTATCGTCCTTCAAACTTTAATTGAAAAAAAAAAAACAATTTGGATTATTTATTCAAAGTCCTAGAATCAGTCAACGAATATTTTTGTCGGAAACTAGCCTAGTGTTCAGATCCTTCAGTCCTATGACCTACGTTATGAATTATAATACATCCACGATGCTCACTAGTTCTGAGCTCATCGCTGCCACGCTTACACATTATTATTACTATACATACAAATGTTCTCCTCGGCTTGCGCGTTTCGTAATAGTCGCGCGTGTATTTTTACATCTCGGAGTGCACGACGACGACGACGAGCGACATTGAGTGACGGTAAATATGTGCGAAAAAAGATCTCGCACACGCAGAAAGTACACACGCACGCGGAGAAAGAGAGAAAACATTTTTAGACTATATGTACCAAGCGCGAAAATTCAGTGTATGTGCATGCACGTATGCCGCTGCTGCGAGGCTGCACAGAGCCCGAGAATCGCATTATTATTTATTATACTCGAAAAAGAAAGAAAAAAAAGCCTCAAGTGTCGATAGGTTACTCGTCGTCGGGGCTGATCTCTCGGGCGTAGGTGTATTATGAATAATACGCTATAATAACCGGAATCGCGCAATGCCGCGCGCGCGTACGCGAGTGCAAGACTTTATTATACATATAAGACATACGCGTGTATACGTGTCTTGTCTCTTTATAAGCCCTTGCGCGAGGTCGTAATATAAGGTCTCAGCTGGGCTTTCTCTCTTTCTTGCTCTTTTGCACGGCTCGGCTCGTTCCCCAACTCTTTGACTCTGCGACTCTTCGTCGTTCGTCGTTGTCGTCATATTCGCTACACATGTATAATATAAGCTGTGTCTGTGTTAGTCTATGTGTGTGGGAGCTGCTGCGTGTGCATCGCGCGCAGAGCTCGCGAACGACAATGACCTTAATAAAATGTGCCGCACGTATATAACGAGCGCCGAGCCAAGCGCGCGTACGTACGTACGACACATCGATCGTATCCTTGCGATTATGTATTACGGTATAATATACCTGCGACGCTCGCGTTTATGTAGCGTAGCGCCGGTACATTATAATACGTACCAAATTTTTAAGGGTTGCTGTAACCCCACGAGGGTTTATAGCCTTATCGAATGTACACGATTAACACGCGTGTATGCAGATCGCCCTTATCTCTGAACTCGGCGCGCTTGTTCCGGAGAGAAAGAGCTCCGAAATCGTTAAGGCAATACAACATTTTTGTGAACATCGCTAAACGAGCTGGTCCCGATTCGCATGAGCAACGATCGGCCATTACGTACAAACGCGTCTCATAAGTTGCACTGCGACGATTGCATCTCTTCGTTATTTCGCGCGCGCGAATTTTTACGAGGCCAATTAACGCGAGTTATTCGAGCATTATTGCGTCGCTCGACGCTCGAGTCAATTTCAACCGGACCGTACTTCGCAGGTCATGCATTCATAAATCGAGTGTAATATATATGAGGACGATTGATGGGAGCCAACACACACCCACAACGAGAGCTGCGAGGTGATCGACACGGTGATGATCCCCTGACACATCGTAACGACGTTATATTCTCGACGAGCGAGGAAAGCATCGCGAAGCTGTGAACCCTGTGTGAAAATCGATTAGCCTCTCGGTGTACGAGCTCGGCAGACACTCGATCGATCGACCGAATGATCCGTCCGGCCAATTTCGCGAGTGCACTTGATTGTGTATGTATACGAGCTTTCGGGACGCGCTCGATAACGAGTATATATTTATGAATGCTCTAGTTGTGTTCGTGAACTTGAAAACTTGTGTACTGATGCTCCGAATTTTTCTGACAAAAAAAATAGGGTAAAAATGCACTGCACTACTTGGATGCTTGTTCAATATCATACTTCTATAACGAGTTATTCGTAAGCGTTAACCACTTGACACACGAGACATGGTAACTTGAATTCGAGTCGATATTATTTTGATTTTCACGTATGAATAAAGAATATAAATGGCTCGCACGGCGTTAATAATAAAATATTTTCGTGGCCCTCGAGCTCATGAGTATACACACAAAATATAACTGCTGTTGCACGCGATATCGTCGTTTATACATACCGATCATGACCATCCTCGTCGCCCTCGCATCCACGAGTACATACACGTACATGTATATGTGCGAGCTGTCCTTAAGCGCGTGTGTAATCGGAGAGTTTGCTCGAGCAAACAGTAAACAGCCCGGAAGATACGAGCGCACGACTCGTAATTCTTTCTCTCTCTCTTCTACCTTACATACCGTATTATGCTATACGCGAGCTGACTTTTTCTTGCTCATCTTCTCTTTCTTTCTTTCTCCTTCTTCTTCTTTTTTCCATTTTATACGTATCATGCTTGTCCCGAGAGCCTCGTGTTTTGGGCCTTTTTGAGCTCTTTACAAGTGCCTGCGCTCTGGTACGTACACACGCGCGCACAAACAATTTGCCGCTCGTAACTTTTTTTTGCTATAACCATCGTCCTGCTGCGCCTCGCACGGATGATCGATTCGCGTCCGAATCGCGCGCGGCTCGATTGATTCATCAATTTCGCCATGTACATACGAACATACATACATACACGCGGCGGCTTCTTTCTCAATTTATTGGCTGCGTCTTCGTCGTCGCTCGCTGTCTTCATCGGCAAAAAAAGCCAGAAAAATTGCCGCGTTAATTCCGATAATTTTCGTATAAACCACCTCTACATTTATTATTATTTCGCAGCTGCCGTATATAATATATAAACGACGGAGAATCAATTTCCGCTGCTTCGACAGAGTTAAGCGATGTGCGCGCAGCTATATTATACGCGAAAAGACAGTACACCGCTGCAACTGCGTGTATATATGTACATGCGTAGCAGCACAGCACAGTACACTACATTACTTTCCGGTCGCCATCTATTTTAGTGAAGCCTGTAATGGCTCTCTCGAGTTTATTTGCGCTCGCGTACAGCAGTTGGATTCGTCGTTATACTTTAATACATGTATATATCTGCATGGGGTATATACAGCTCGGGAGGGCTTTCGCGGGTACTATACCGTACCTATACCTACCTACGCGCCCGAGAGCTGAAACTTTTGCCGTTATACCAAAGCTAAGGCCGATTAAACGCCCATAATGGAATTTCGTAATTTTTTTTTGCAGCTTTTAGAGTTAGTCGAGAGAACAGCAGCAGCAGCAGCTGCTGCTGCTACGATCCACCTTTACAACCTCGGTGTACAGCTGTAATTTCGAGTTCTTTTTTGCCCTTCGTAAATTTATAACTATATAAAGATTACGCCAACATTTTTGATTTGCGCCCCCCGCAAAAGCCAAAAGTCAACTTTGTACCAAGTTGGTCTCGGAGTGAGAGAGAGCTAAACTTACTTTTGTTGCAAACTATAATGCAATAACTTACGTTTCCGCTTCGTAAGCACCATGTACTATATACCCACACATACACAGAGTGAGAGAGAGAATACTTTGCTTGTTTTGCTATATTGTTAAATACATATATGTATAGACCGGCGCACTGGAAATTCATTACCGCCCGTGCGCGGCTGCCGCTATTAAGGAAAGTTCAAAAACAAAGACCAACTTTAAAGTAAATCAAGTTTTAATGTACATACTATGTAGTATGTGTAAGGGCGTATATGCATGTGTGCACGCGCTTGTTAAATCCAAATTGGTGTATGTGCTTATAGATTTCGCCTTGACTGAGATCATTTATAACGACTCTCGCTCTGCTTTTTAATCGCGAACAATACGCGCAACGATTTTTGCCGCTATACTCCTCGCGAATATAATCTTTTACTATCGTACTGCAGTCGATTGAAAAATGCATGCGCGCTCTGGTTTTACGTCTGACGCAGAGAGAGAGAGAGGAGCTGGCTCGCAAGCTCGCTCGCGCATTGTGTGCAGCGACGATAGCCGAGGCACAAAAAAAAGCTCGGCCGATTATTATAATATACATATTTTTGCTCTACTTACTCGAGAGAGAATAGTTTATGTCAAGTTCGAGATGATATATAGTGAGTATACGTGTGGTATAAATTTCAAGGTCCACGACTATGAAAATTGTACGGATGCACACGTGGGTAACAATGATTTTGCTGTGCATAAATTAATAACCTTTGCGCGGGGGAGCGCATATATAATGCACCCACTACGAGAGAAAACAAGTTTTTATTGGATTTGAGCTTTTAAGTTTGCACATGCAGCATTTAGGGAAGTAAACACAGGGGCACAAAACTTTAGCCTATTGACAAAGAAAAGAGAGAGAGAGAAAAGTCAAGAGAGCCTCGTTATTCTTGGAGGAAAGCATACGTAATATGATATTTATTTTATCGATCGTGTACGTACTGCAAGCTCGACTTGGCGGAAACAACACAGATATATTATAAAGCAGTAATGTTGTGGAAAAAAAAAATAAGCGACAAGAGCATATAGCTGCTGCCTACGACGACGACGAGGTCTATGCCACGCGAGCCGCTCGCGAGGGTCAGAAATTTCAATACAATAAGTTCATAATATCATAAGCAAGATGTGTGTTGTCGTTCGTATACGTAGCTGACGTCTTTCTTGCGCTGCAGGCGCGCTCTACTCTAGGTATATTGGTATTAAAAGCGAGAGCCGTCGGAGTATAGCATCGTGTGTCGGTCGAGGCCAAGTGCGATACCCCTCAAGTCTTTTCTCTCTTCATTTTCGCGCTCTCCCTCTCGAGGCATTTGCAACCCCTTTAAGGCTACTCGATCGCCTCTAACTTGACCGTCACCGTCGCGCCGTTGTCGAAGCGTCTTGCAAGCGGCTCTTCTCATTCTTTTTCTATCTACGACGCTCGACTGAGCTGACTGCGTTACTGTACGCGGCTTGTGTCGGTAAAGTGTTCAGTGAAGTGAGGGTGGTGACCATTTTTACTTGTGTTCGTTAGTGCGAGACTACCGGCTACGGTGGAAAAAGGCGTGCAAGATGAAAGTGATAAAAACGAAGACGACGCGAAGGCGTGCCGACGACGAGAATCGCCGGTGGAGACGGTGCAGCAGCCGGCTAGATAAATAAAGCTCTAAATAACTGTGTACGCGATCGAACAGTGTCTTAAACTGATTCGAGAAGAAGAAGAAGCGGTGTATAAGTCACATACGACGCTCTCGACGCGATGGCCAGGCTCAACAAGCTGCTACTGCTGCCACCTCCAGCCTCCCGCGTCGTACCCAAACAATGGTGATAATGCTGAAGACCATCGACGTTTTCGGCTCGATCCGCTCGCTCTTCAAGGTCACTCGCATCGTCGAGGACACCCTCATCTTTCGGCTGCACTATCGCGCCACCGTGGCCTTCCTGCTGGCGGGCTGTCTCACGCTGGCCTGCAAGAGCATCAGCGGCTCGCCGATACACTGCGAGGCGAGCGGCGCCGTCGACAAGGTCGTCCTCGAGACGTTCTGCTGGCTGCACACCACCTACAGCATGGTGCACGCGTTCAACATGAGCCTCGGGCGCTCGATACCCTATCCCGGGGTGTCGAACAGCGGCGTGAGCAAGACCGAGGTGCACGGCCACACGCAGCACCCGATGGTCAAGCAGCACAAGTACTATCAGTGGGTCATCTTCGCCCTGCTGCTGCAAGTAAGCGGACAGAGATAAGCCGGCGATAATATACGGCCCCCGAGTAAATGTAAAATCCCACGCGCGCTCGTGTGTGTGTGTGTGTGTGTGTGTGTGTGTGTGTATGCACGAGAGTTAGCACCGGGCACTGCAGCTGCAGTAGAGATCGCTGACCTCGCAAACTATACGCGCGCACGGAGCGGCAGAGTTTGTGTCTGTCCTATGCAGTAGTAACGCGGAGCCATCGTGAGAATGTCGCAGGCAGCCGTCGATGCAACTATCCGAGATAGAGTCTCTCGGACGAATGTATCATCGGCCGAGGCAAATACGTTCACTTTTGCTCCGACGACCGAGTATACCCATGCACGTGTTTTGTATAGTCGCCTTCGAAGCTCACCCTGCAAGACTCAATTTATTTTTGTTTGACGATTTTTCTGATCAAATTATGTTAAAACTATCGAGTATATTTTGAATGTCCTGAAAATGACTATTTTTTTTTTAATTTAGACCAGTTTACAACTACTCTGAATACGATAATGTAACTTCAAATATCCACCACTAGATGGCGAGAACTTTTAGCTGTAGATCTACAAGTGATAAAGTCAAAATATGGTTATAAAAAACAAAAATAATCTAAAATATCTAATCGTTTTCTAGGAATAGTCTATTTAATAATCGTTGTGTTCTCAGAGTCAAGACCGAGGTCTTGAGGTCCTGAAGAGACCGACAAATAAATCGGCGACACGTTGACACGGTCGTAGAGAAGTGAGTTTTTGTTTCACTTCCAATTTGACATTGGGGTCGTCTTTACTGCCGTAATTATTTTCACTATATCGTCTGTCTACCTCTAATAGTGAAGAAAGGCTTTTTAAAGGATTAGTGAAATAATACCATATATTCATCCGAAAAGATGCCGTATGCCAAAAATAAGGCATGGACCTTATTTTTAAAAATATGAAATATAATCGAACAATAGGAAAAATAACCCGTACTAGAATAGCTAAGTGCGTTTTGCAAATTGGACCACATTATATGACAAAAAATCGACGTGCCAGTGCTGAAAGATGCCGCTTCGCTTCGCAGAGCAGAAAGATGCCATTTCGGCGCTCGGTATTTCTGCGTTCGAAACTTTAACTATTATCTTCATTCCAAAGACAGATTCTGGAAGAGCATCCAATTTTACTTCTAAAACGTGAAACATTAATATGGTGTCTTTCAAACGCCGAAAAAACCATCCTTCAGGATCGAGCACCGGAATGGCATTTTTCAGCTCGAACGCGAAAACGCAACTTTCTGATCGGAGCGCGACATGGCATTTTTCAGCACTGGCACGTCGAAATGTAATCCATATTTCATAAATATGGCGTATGGTTTTTTTTTTAATATATCGGTAGAACACACTTGCTCTTTAATAGAGTCATTTTCCGTCACTAGGTGGCGAGTACACCTTCATCTGTAAATCTGCAAGGGACCCAGTCAAAATAATTGTATAAAAGTCAAATCAAATTACTCATATTTAAATTTAATTTTAATTTATTTCCTTTAAATTAATTTTAATTTTACTTCCTTTCGCGCGGTATATAGCCCATATAAAATTTACTGTCTTTTTACCACTGACAACGTATACAATTCTCATTATTCCCGCGCGGAGACATCGATAGAACGCGAGAAAGAACCGAATCGTTTCGCTCAAAGTGTGACCTGGCTCGTTCGCGTGAAAAATGCACATAATTCAAATCGTGCGTGCACGATACGAAATGACGCGCGAGACGCACACGCTCGAATCGACTTTATTTATAATTTTTTTCATTTTTTATTTTTGTCAAAACGTCGTGTGCGTCTGACGTCTGCTTATAATTTCATTGACGAATCGTCGGAGCTCAAAACGCGATATACATCGAGCAACAACGTCGTGTATACAAGCTGAAATTCACTGCAGCTGCAGTAGCTCATGCTCTTTCTCTCTTTCTCTCTCTCGTACTCGATATAGAGTGGCGAAAAGTCTGCACGAGTACCACGACGTTGCTCTACGTGCGTGTGTATGTATACATATTTTGGCAGTTTGCCCAATAATGCTCGCTGGCGTGCGCGCGTGTGTTCGCAAGAGAGAAAACGGAAAAAGAGCCTTGGACTCGATCATCCAGCTGCTCGGAGGTACATTGACACCGATATCGTTGAGTAAAATAGGTAAAAAGCAAGAGAGAGGGAAAGAAAGAAAAAGAGAACGAAATGATCAACTTTGAGGATTATATAGGTGTACATATACCCGCGCACGTGTGCATATTATACATGTATGAGCGCCGACGAAGATGACACGTTGCAATTATTAATACGAGTAACATCTCTCGCATCGTCTCAGAGGGTGGAGTTCTTGATCTTTGCGTGGAATATAATATATGCATTTATACGTGCGTCGTAGGATATATAATTGCTGCGGTATGTATATTGTAGTACGCGTGCCTGGCGTGCCTCGACACATATCTCCAACATATATATAGTTATAAGCATATGTGTGTGAGTGGGCAGGTATACACTTTGTCGCAACGACGATATGCGGCGGCAGCAGTTGTCAAAACTCGTAATTATCATCGCATATATTATGTAGTCTGCGATATTCCCGATCGTTCATTGAAGGCCCGAGCTCAATTATGAATAAATCAAATCGGCCCTCAACAATGGCTCGTAACTTAATCAACGAGCTGCATATATCGAGTATAAGTTGAGCTGCGGCTGTGTAACACGGGTGTACGAGGATACAAGCTCGCGACGAGTATAGCTCTTGTATTTTCCGACTCTGCTGTTTGAGTCTCGACGAGTTGAGCAAAAAGGAAAAGTTTTTTTTGGGAAACCAAAAAACTTTGCCAGCCAGCCAGACGTGTGCTATATGTAACGTGTATCGAGAAGGCGCACGAGAGTTTTTCAGCCGGTGGAGATTCGCGATCGCGCGCGCTCAGTGCAAAGAGCAACAATGCAGCCGCTGGCCTTTTCTCGATTTCCCGTGTGCCGCAAAATTTCGCTTCTCTTCGCGAGTTCGACTTGGAAAACAATGGACAATGGTCTTCGTAGCCCGGCGCGCGGAGCTTCTGCTCAGCCAAAGGAGCAGCGACTTGTTTTAAAACTTGAAATAAAAAGGGGGACTCGCTCGGCCGCCGCGTCGAATCGCGCACAAATCGCGATAGATAGAGCGGTACACGGTTTGCGTCTCATTATGCTAAAGCCGAATAGTTGTTGTACATATGATGGTAATTTGGATTACTTGAACACTACAACCGTGTTATATAATCGATGAAATTTTTCGCATTGGGATTTGAGACGGGATCGACGCCATCTATCGGTACAACTAATACGATCGGAGCGCGTCGCGTCTTTCGACAAGTATAGCTCCCAGATATGGGGGAAAGTAGGAATTAGGTAGTTGGGCATCGCTATAAATCGTGTTATTTTTCATAAAAATGTTATTTCAAGCAAATTGGATGTGCTATGTATAAAAATAACTAGAAGGAAAAAAACAGTCCAATAAATTTTCTCCTAAAACGCAATCCAGTTGTGAAAATTTATATACAATCATTTTCACTTTGCCACTTGCGGTTTTACAGATAAAGATACTCGCCATCTAGCGGTGAAGATTGGCTTTGATTGTGAATGAGTTCTCGCATACATTTTTTGTGCAATAAAACTCAAAAAATAAATCAGCCTTGAACATTAATTGGAAAAAAGTGTGTTTCAACCTGATTATTTTGTTATCATCGCGTTTTTCATCCGTGCAATTTTCAAACTGGAAAAACGAATGTCTTTGGGGACAAAGTGCACGGAACAACATAATATTGGTGAAAGAATACGTGTGAATTTCTTAAATTGATCAAAGACCCATCGACTCTGACCCACGGATGGGATAATTTGGATTCATGCATTTATTTCATACTCAGCGAAAGTCAATTTTCTTCAATTATAACTTTCTTTTCCCGAGCAATTTTTCAGAAGCCTTTTTGCGTTCCCCAACGAATCGATCCGTATCGTACACCGGTCGTAACCCAAGCTCCGCCGCTGTTTGCCATCTCGAATAATCCCATACACACCGCTCGAGCCACCGAGCGAAGAACCTAAAAAAATAAGCAGTTTTCCGTACAGATCGACGATTCTCCTATCTCTACCCCGAGACACGCATGTATAAAGGCGCACATTACGCAAGTGCAGTCGCGAATCTTATATTATATTATATACGCGTGTACAAACTATTCGCACTAAGCAATAAATAAACTGACCCTCTATAATGTACGAGATTCTCAGTCGTTTCCGAGTGTACGGAGTGTATAGAGAGAGGCTGAGAATCTAAACAACGCGCGTAGTACTGCACTCGCGGGCAACCTATAGGACCGGCAAAACCACTTTCTGTACTCGAGCCTTCGAGCCTCGAGCGTTAGTGCAGTGCAGTGCGTTGCGAAAAATTTTCTCTCGCTCTACACGGCGGCGGCGAAATAAATTAAAACACGCGCCATTCCTCTCGCACCTAGGCAACCAACACCTCGACTCGCTGTATATAAGAGCCATTAGAAGGACGCTAACTTCTCTCTATCTGTCTCTCTGTCTTTTGCTGCTGCTGCTGCTGCTGCCGGGGAGAAATAATTAACTCCGCGCATAGGCCGACGCAATCGCGTAAATCTGTAGTTTATATATACGGTTAAAAGCAGCGTACGCGTGGACTCTGCGCTCGTTCGATTGAAAAATTGGCTCGTATGTGCGCGGGGCTGTGGTACTCGATGAGTCGGAAGAAGAAAGAAAAAAAGTATGTATCGAGCGTATCGACTGTAATTGTGCAATACCGTGCCCCGAGAATTTCATTAACTACGCGCGACAAACTCTTACGAAGTCGAGAAAAGTAAATGGAAAATTAAACTCGGTAAGCGTCTTTACCTTACTCGTGTTTATATACCACTATTCTGTGTACCGTAACGTAATGTCAAACTGTAACATTTACTTGATACGTGCCTCGGTGCCAAAACGCGTCGCGCAGCAGCCCCTTC